AGGTCCCTGGATGTAGCTGAGCTCCCCCAACCCCGACCCCCCGAGGCCCACGGGCCCTGCCGGGCTGAGCTCAGCACCACTGGCTCAGCACCGCCCTCCACCCCCTCCCCGCGCAGGGAAACAGGGCCTCCCACCCTGCACATCCCACCCTGCTCACATCGAGAGAATGGGGGGCCTGCACCCCCCACACCCCACCGCAGGCAATATGGTTTCCCAGCATGGCCCCCAATATGGCCTCTCCAGCACGGCCCCCAGCATCGTCACCGCCTCCCACCCTCCCCTGAGCATCCCCCGCCCCAGCATCCCCACTGGGGCACGCCAGCCTCCCCAGTATGGATCCGCAGCATCCCAGTGCGGGCCCCCATTACAGCGTCTCCAGCGACCCCCAAAGCACGACCCCCATCCCAGCATCCCCAGTGCGACCCCCCGGTACAGCGTCTCCAGCGCCACCCGCACACCACGATTCCCCCCCATGCAGCCCCCCAGGCCCGGAGCATCAGCCCTCGCGGGATACCCGGTCATGGGGGGTGGGATCCGCCCCAGTCCCGAACCCGGTCCCGAACCCGGTCCCGGTCGCACCTCCCGGGATCGAGGGAAAAGCGGCGGCGAAGAACAAAGGGCCCGGGGGGGCGGCACAGCCCTCCCCCCCCGCCGCACCGGGCATGAACCCCCGCAGCGAGCACGGCCAACACCCCCCGCACCGGGCACAGCCCCCGCGCGCCATCACCGTCCCCCGGGGCGCAGCTCCCCACCTCCCACCGCGGCCCCCGGGCACGGCCGCCCAGCCCCGGTACCGGGGCCGGTACCGGGGCCGGTACCTCGTTGAGCAGGAAGGTAGCGCTGGAGTCAGAAAACGACATAGACGGGGCGAGCCGAGCCGAGCCGCCCGCGCCCCCGCCCCGCTCCACCGGCACCGGCTCCGGTTCCGGCTGCGGCTCGGGCTCCGGCTGGCCCTGCCCGCTCCACCGCCCCTCCCCGCCCCTCCCCGCCCCTGCCTCCCACCGCCCCCGGGGCGCACGGAGCCGCCCCCGCCGCTCAGCCCCGGGTGGGGGTGTCGGGAGTCCCGGTTCCCTCTTCCCGGTGATGGCGGGGGCTCCAGTGCCCCCGGTGCAGCTCCCCCGGGGCTGCACTGGCAGCCGGGGTCCCGAGCGGTCCCGGTGCAGTGCACCGGGACGGGGCACGGGGCAGCTCTCGGTAGCGGTGTGTGTGTGGGGGTAGTTTGCCAAGAGGGAAAAGCTCCCGCTGAGGGGGCGTCCTGGGGTTTGTGCCGGGCGGGGGTCCCGGGGGCGAGGCAGGGGGTCCCGGGGGTACCTCCATGCTCCGGTGCGGCGGCCCCGGTCCTGCCCCGAGCCGGTAGCAGCCCCGTCTGCAGGGCGAGCCCTGCGGCGGGGCCGGAGCCGCTCCCGCCCCCGCCGCGCCTCCCACCCCCGCCTCCGAGGAGGGGGGCAGCGACGGGCCCCGGGGGACCGGACCGGCCCGCCCCGTTACCGCGCAGCGGGACGGACACCGGTGGGACAGGCCCGGGACCGCTCGGGGTCGGCCCGGGGGCCGCGGGGCAGCGCTCGGCGGGGCGGGGGCTCCGGGCAGCGCCGTGACCGGCCCCGAGCACCTGCACCGGGCACGGGGCACTGGGCACCGGCCCCGGTACCGGACACGCGGTGGGGCCCGGCCGGGCCCTCTCCGAGGTGCTGAAGGGGCCGCGCCGGGTGCTGGGCCGGGTCGTGGGGTCCCTGAAGGTACCCGGGAGTACCGGGGTACCGGAGGAGCAGGTGCTACTCTGGGACGGAACCGGGATGCTCGGGCCGCTCTGCAGCCCCCGGGGCCGCCCCTACCGGAACCCCCCGCCCTCCGCGGAACCGCTCCGGTACCCGCTCCCCCGCCGGCGGCCGGGGAGGGGGCGCAGCTCGCGCCGGGGGGAACCAGAGCACCGGCTGGGGGGCGGCGGGGGGTCCGTACCCCCTCGGGCAGCGCGCTGAGGACGCCCCGGTGCCCGTTGATGGACCGGGCGGGGCGGCCCCGCGGCTCCCCCCGCCCCGGTTCGTTCCCCGTCCGCTGCCTCAGTTTCCCGGGGCCGCCCCCCGCGCCGCAGTGCCGGTGCCCGCCGCCGGCCCGGCCCTGACGCAGCACTCGCTATTTTTAGCCGCGGGGAGCGGCTGTTGCGATGCCACCGGCGCCCGGTGCCGGCGCCCAGACCCGTCCCGGGGGAGCGGAGGGGCGGGGGCGGCCCTCCGGTTCCTCCCGGTGCAGGGGTTGGGGTGGGAGATGCTCGGCCGCTCCCCACACCCGGTCCGTGCCTTAATGCGGAGCCGCAACAGCGGCGGGCCCGGGGCTGGCGGGGCTGCCCCGCCCCGATGCCGGTGCCGGTGTCGGTGCCGGATCCGGCCCGCTCACCTGCCTGCGGAGGATGCTGGAGGTGGTGTCGGACGAGGTGCTGCCGTCCGAGCGCTTGAAGCGGCTCTTGCGCTTCGGGAGCCTCCGGGGGCTCTGCGGGGAGAGCGGCCGGTGAGCACCGGGCGGCACCGGGCGGTTACCGGGCGGCGTGGCTCCGCCACGGTGCTGCCACCGGCGGCCCCCAGCGCTGCGGGAAGAACCGAACCGGGCCGCACCGGGCCCGCGACGGCCGGGAGGGCTCCGGTCCGCTCACCTGGAAGGAGCCGGGAGCATCAGGCTGCGCCGGGGCGGACATCCCCGGCGGCACCCACCGGAGCCCCCGGGATGCCGGCGGGGCCGCCCCGCACCGGACCGCGGCGCTCCGCGGGGAAGGGCCGCGCCGCCGCCGCCGCCACTGCCGCGCTCCGCATCACACGGGGCCGCCGGGGCGTCCCGGCCGTCCCCGCCCCCGCCTGCCCCGCCCCCGCGCCCATCCCCGCGGCGGCCGGTCCGCGCCCCCGCAGCTGGGCAGCCACCGGAGGGCACCGGGAACGGACCCTCCCCGCAACCCGCAGTGCTGCGGGGACCGCCCGGGCGGTGCCGGCGAAGAGGAGCCCCCCCGGGGCCGCGGCGGCCGTGCCCACGCGTGTGCGGGGATGCGGGAGCCCCACCACCCGCATCCCACCGTGCTCTCCCGCCCGGGGTTTTTTACCCCCCCCGGGGGTATATACCACCCAGAGGGAGCACCTGCCCCCCTAGATCTCCGCGTGGGGCAGGCGGAGCCGTGGGGAGAAGCAGCCCACCCACCCCACGCCCCGTGTCCCCGCCATGCCCACGGGGGCGGCCGGTTCCGGTGCTGCAGCATCACCGGACCGGAGCGACGGGCCGGGGGGGCCGCGGGAAAGGGGGTACCGGGAACCCCACGGAGCCCCAGCGTGGGCCCCCGCCCCCGCGCGTCGGGACTTCCGCGTGGGGCCGCAGGGACACGGCCCCGCCGGCGGCTGCTAATTAATGATTAATCAGCGCTCCCGGGGCCCGGCGCCGGAGCGGGGGCTGCGGGGCCCGGCGACGCCGCTGCGGGGGTGGGAAGGGGGGGCACGGAGGGGTCCGGGAACGGGGGAATGGGGGTGCTAAGGCCTGACCCACGCCCACTCGTGGGGTACGGGCCTGGGGGGCTGGCGAGGACCACAGTGAGGTGATGCCCTGTGCGAACTGGGCACGGGGTGCGTGGAAATGGGGGTGCGTCTGCAAGGGGCACGTGTGTGTGAGGGGGTCTGCGAGTGTGTAAGGGGGGCTGTGTGCAAGGGGGTGTCTGAAGGGGTGTATCGGGACTGTAAGGGGGTGTGTGTACAGGTGTGTGTGCAAGGTGCCTTTGTGTGTGTGTGTGTGTGTGTGTGCAAGGGGGGTGTGCATGAATCCCTGAGCGCAGGTGTGCCCAGGTGTGCGTGCACGGGGAATCCGGGCGTGTTTGTGTGCACACACACACACACAGAGGAGTGCACGTGTGAGTGTGCAACGGGACTGCACGCGTGTGCAAGGGGTGTGAAGGTGCAGGGGGGTGTGGGGGTGTGTGTGCAACGGGTGTCTGTGTGTGCAAGGGGGGGATGCAAAACATGCGTGTGCATCTGTGTGTGCGTGCAAGGCGGTGCGTGCCTGTGCACAGGGGGGTGTGTGCATGCCGGGGGCGCGGGGTGTGTGTGTGTACACACGTGTGCGTGTTGCACAAGGGGGTGCGCTGTGTGCGCGTGCAAGGAGGGGTGCGGGAGATGCTCGCGGGGCGGATGTGCAAGGGGGACACGGGGGACAGCGGGGTGGGTGTGCAAGGGGCACACTCAGTGAGGGGGGCTGTGCGGACACGGGGGGCCCGGCCGCGCGTGTCCCCGCTGTCCCCGCCATGTCGCCGCGGCGCGGCGTGTCCGTGTGTGCGTGTCCGTGCCCGTGTGCGTGTGCGCAGCCCCCGGGGGTGCGGGTCCGCCCGCACCTCCCCCGCCGCTCCGGGCCGTACCGGGCCGTTCCCGCCGCCGCCGCTGCGCCTTTAAGGCCGCTGGCCGGGAGCGCCCGGGAGCGGATCCGGGCGGGGGGCGGGCACCGGCCAGGGCGGGCCGGGGCTGCGCGGCCGCGACCGGGACCGGGGCCGCCACCGCCACCGGGGCCCGGCCTGGGCGCGGATGGGGCGGCGGGGACGCGGCGCGGCCGCCGTGTAGGAGCGGGCGGCGGCGGGGCCGTGGCGGGGCGCAGGGCCCTGCGGGCGGCGGCGCCGGAGGCGGAAGGTGAGCGGGCCGACCAGGAGCACCGGGAGCGCCGGCGGGAGGCGGGTGGATCAGGGCGGCGGCGGCACCGCGATCGGGACCGGGACCAGGATTGGGACTGGGACTGGGATTAGGGCGGGGGCGGCACTGGGCTGGCCCCGGGCGGCAGGAGCGGTGCGGCGCCGGGGGGGCTGTGCGGTGCTCGGCGGGGGGTCCGGTGCGGCCGGAGCTGTCGGTGCGGCGGAGCGGCCGGTGCGGTGGCGGGAGGGCGCTGGCGGGTCCTGATGAACAGGCCGGGCTCGGCGGGGCTTCCGTGCCCGGAGCGGGGAGGAGGGAGGGAGGGACGGAGAGACGGAGAGAGGCGGCCGCCGCCACCGGGGCCGGCCCTTCCCGGTGTCCGTTCCCCATCGCCGCTCGCCCGCTCCTACCGGGACCGGCTGGGACCGGGCTGCCACGTCCCGGCTGGTTCCCGGTGCCCCGGGGCGGCCGTGCCCGGTGCAGCTCGTTGGCCACCGTTCAAGACAAACAGGGCCGGGACGCCCGGGTCGGTCCCAGCTTTGTCGCAGGTCGCTGCGCCGGGGAGGGCGGGCTCGGGGCGGCCTCGGCAGGGCCACGCACCGGGCACCGGGACACCGGGAACCCAGCACCGGGATACTGGCACGGAGCACCGGCCCAGCACCGGCCGTTCCCACGGGGGCCATGGAGGTGGTGGGAGAGCTGGGACTTGGGGTCTGCATCCTCCGGGGTGGAGCGGGACACAGGACGCTCTGCCCCTTGTGAGGCCTCGCACCCCCGTGAGCTCCGGGGTCCCTCTGGGGGTGTCAGGGTGGGGGCCTGAGCGCTGACCCCCGCCCCGGTGCCCGCAGCATGTCGTGGTTCAGCGGCATCCTGGTGCCCAAGGTGGACGAGCGGAAGACGGCATGGGGGGAGCGCAACGGCAAGAAGGGCCCCCGGCCCCGCGCCGGCCTCTGCGGCCCCCGCTACATGAGCTGCCTGCAGGACCCTGAGATGGAGAGGGGCGCGGGACCCCCCCGGGGAATGCGCTGCACCTGGCAGGAGGACCACTACGGCAAGAAGGGGCCCGCAGGCGACCTGGGACTCAAATCGGTGGACGCGGCCCTGGAGGACGGCGAGGCCAAGGGCCCGAAGGGGGCCGGGGGACACGGGGGGCGGCCGTCGGCCGGCGAGTGCTGGCGGCGGCTGCTCCAGGTTTTCCGCTCCAAACGCTTCCAGTCGGCCAAACTGGAGCGGCTCTACCAGCGCTACTTCTTCCAGATGAACCAGAGCAGCCTGACGGTGCTGATGGGGGTGCTGGTGCTGGTCTGTGGGGTGATGCTGCTCTTCCTCTGCCTGCCCGGCTCCCCGCACGTGCCGGCGGCGGCGGCGCTGGCTGGGGCCACGGCCCTGTTCCTGCTCCTCATGGTGCTGTGCAGCCGCAGCGCCTTCCCCCAGGACTACATGTGGGTGGTGAGCTACGTGGTGCTGGGGCTGCTGGCCGGGGTGCAGGCGCTGGGGACGGTGGCCGTGTCCCCCCGGAGCGCGGCCGAGGGCGTTTGGTGGAGCGTCTTCTTCATCTACATCACGTACACGCTGCTGCCCGTGCGGATGAGGGCGGCCGTGCTGGCCGGGGTCCTGCTCTCCGCCCTGCACCTCGCCATCGCCTGGCACCGCAACGCCGCCGACCCCTTCCTCTGGAAGCAGGTAGGGCAGGGGACACACAGTCACACACACAACACACACACGGTGGGGGGCTGCGCCCAGGGGGTCCTGCCCGCCTGTGGGTACCCCCCAGGTGGGACCCGTCGGCTCCCCGAGTCCCTTCCTGCAAAATTGGGGTGGTTTTGCACTTGATGGCGGAAAATTCTGGACGTGGGAGGGGCCCCTTGGCTGCAGGTCCCCTGGGGGAGGTCCCGTGCCAGGGGCCTGTGGTGTGACCAGGGGTCTCTCTGCTGCCGCAGCCCCCGTGGGGCAGGAGGGGCCCCTGGTCCTGGCACAGACCCACCATTGTGGGCTGCACCAGGGGAGGGGGGGCACCCACAAAGCCCCTGTTGTGGGGCTGGCGGAAATCCCTGAGGAGGGGATGCAGGGCCAGGGCATCAGGGCGGGGGGAGGGTTGTCACCCAGGGGCGCTGGGACGCTGGCAGTGTCCCCTGTCCTGCCCCTCTGGGGTGCTGGGTGCTCCCAGCAGGGTGCTGCAGGCACAGAGGGGTCCCCCACCCCAGGGCTGGGTGTTCCCAGCCCCGGCAGCCCCTTGCTGTGCTCCCCCTCCTTGCACGGGGCCACTCCTCACTGTCACCCTCGCCCTGCCTGGCCGGGGCCTGGCCCACGTGCGGTCCCCGCGGGGCACAGGGCGAGGAACGCGATGTGGGGGGGGGATCCGAGGCCAGCGGGGCTTTGGGGGTCACTGGAAGGGCAGCCCCTCTGGGTGGGGCTCACCCCCCCCGCAGGGTGGGAGCGATGGGGCTTCCAGGGGGATGTGAGGGGGCTGGGGGGGTGCGAGGCCCCCCCTCCCAGTGTGTTGGAGAGCTATAAATAGCTCTGGCTCCGATCCCAGGGGACTGGGACAGGGGGGAAACCGCAGCTCCCACTGCAGCCATCTCTGCTTCCCGACTTCCTCTGCTTCCAGAGGGTGTCCTCACGACCCACCCTGCTCCAGGTCCCCGTGTGCCCCTTGCCCTGGGTTCCTGCATCCTTATATCCCCCCTTGTCTGGTTTCCTCCATCCCCATGGCCCCCTGCTCCCCCTGTCCCCTGTGTCCCCAGGTCCTTGCATCTCCACATCCCCCTGCCTTGGGTCCCCATGTCCCCTCCTGCCCCACATCCCCTCCTTGCTGCTCTTAACAGCACCCCCCACACCAGAGAGCTGGCTGGGGGCGGGGGGCTCACACTGAGCCAACCTCCCCCCCCCAGCTCAGCGCCAACGCCCTGATCTTCCTCTGCACCAACGTGGTGGGGGTCTGCACCCACTACCCCGCCGAGGTGTCGCAGCGCCAGGCCTTCCAGGAGACCCGCGGCTACATCCAGGCACGGCTGCACCTCCAGCGGGAGAACCGGCAGCAGGTGGGATGGGGGGTCCCCGTGCCGAGCTGGGGGGGGGTCCCAGGAGGTCTTGACCCCTCCCCTGATGATGCTGCTGTGGGTGCAGGAGCGGCTGCTGCTCTCGGTGCTGCCGCAGCACGTGGCCATGGAGATGAAGGAGGACATCAACACCAAGAAGGAGGACATGATGTTCCACAAGATCTACATCCAGAAGCACGACAACGTCAGGTACCGTGGGGACGGGGGTGCGGGCGAGGTTTTGGGGGTGTCAGCAGGGGAGGGAGGCCCCGGGGGGGGTGTGTGGACCCTCCCCAGCCCACGCCCTTCCTCCCTGCAGCATCCTCTTCGCGGACATCGAGGGCTTCACCAGCCTGGCCTCGCAGTGCACGGCCCAGGAGCTGGTCATGACGCTCAACGAGCTCTTCGCCCGCTTCGACAAGCTGGCCGCGGTGAGTGGAGGGGCTGGGGGGTGGGGATGTTCCCAGAGCCCCCCTGACCCGCCTGTGCCCCCCAGGAGAACCACTGCCTGCGCATCAAGATCCTGGGGGACTGTTACTACTGCGTGTCGGGGCTGCCGGAGGCACGGGGGGACCACGCCCACTGCTGCGTGGAGATGGGGGTCGACATGATCGAGGCCATCTCGTGAGTGGGGGCAGAGCTGGGGGCGGCTGTGCCCATCCCCTCGGGCCCATCCCCGGTGCTGGCACGTCCCCGGTGCCACTGCAGTGCTGGGGGGAAAGTGTGCCCATTCCTGGTGCTGGTGCTCCCCCAGTGCTCACCAGTCTGGGTCGTGGTGCCTGTGGCTGTCGTGGTGTGACTGGGGGTGCCCAGGGGTGACGTGGTGCCCGTGCCACCCGCAGGCTGGTGCGTGAGGTGACGGGGGTGAACGTGAACATGCGCGTGGGCATCCACAGCGGGCGGGTGCACTGCGGGGTCCTGGGGCTGCGCAAGTGGCAGTTCGACGTCTGGTCCAACGACGTCACCCTCGCCAACCACATGGAAGCGGGAGGCAAAGCTGGGTGAGCCTGGACTGGGAAGGGGCTGGACTGGGGGGCAGGGGGCATGGAGCAGGATGGGGGGCTCACCTCCTGCCCCCCCCCACCCCATCATCCCCAGACGCATCCACATCACCTGGGCGACGCTGCAGTACCTGAACGGCGACTACGAGGTGGAGCCGGGGCACGGGGGCGAGCGCAACGCCTACCTCAAGGAGCACAACATCGAGACCTTCCTCATCGTGGGGTGCAGCCAGAAGCGCGTGAGTTGGGGCGGGGGGGAAAAGTTGTGGGGAGGGGGTCCCAGGAGGGTGGGAGAGCCGGGGTGTCCCCCCCTCCCGCCTCCCTCCTCCTCACGGCCGTGTGTCCCCCCCGCAGAAGGAGGAGAAGGCCATCCTGGCCAAGCTGCAGCGCGCTCGTGCCAACTCCACCGAGGGGCTGGTGCCGCGCTGGGTGCCCGAGCGCTCCTTCTCCCGCACCAAGGACTCCAAGGCCTTCCGGCAGATGGTCAGTGGCCTCGGGGGGGTGGTTTTTTTGGGCACGGGGGATCCCACCGCGGCGGTATCGGCTGCTCGCTGCCCTTCCGGGGCTGTCTGTGGCTTCCCCAGCCCTGCCCGCGGATCTTGTGGCTTCCTCCTGCTGCCTGCAGGCCTGGGAGGAGCCTGGGGTGCCACCCCATCCTCAGTAGACCTTGGGGACCCGCCCTGTCCTCAGCAGCCCATGGGAACCCCCCCAGGGTCTCCCCCATCCTCAACAGACCTCAGGGATCCCCCCTGTCCTCACCAGCCTTGGGGACCACTGGTGTCAGACATCCCCCCCCAGACCCCTCTCTCCTCCCTCTGCAGACCCTTGGGGACCCTCCCACCATCCTGGTGACCCCTGGGACTCCATCCCCCATCCTGGGTGACCCTGGGGGATGCCCCATGTCCCTGTCATCTGTGGGGGACCCCCCCATCTGTGCCAGTGTCCCTGACACCCCCATCTCCTTGTGTCTCCCAGGGCATCGATGACTCCAGCAAGGACAAGTAAGTGTCCCCATGCCAGGGCACCACGGGGGGGCACAGCTGGGCCCTTCCCTGGGGCAGAGACGGGGGTCTTGGGGGACCCTGACCCCCCTGTGTCCCCAGCCGAGGTGCCCAGGAGGCCCTGAACCCCGAGGACGAGGTGGACGAGTTCCTGAGCCGGGCCATCGACGCCCGGAGCATCGACCAGCTCCGCAAGGACCACGTCAAGAAGTTCCTGCTCACCTTCCAGACACCTGAGCTGGAGAAGAAGGTGAGAGGCCCTCTGTCCCCTCTGCCCCAGCCCTGAGGGCCCCCTCTGTGCCCTGAAGTCCCCTCAGTTCTGGCCCCATCAGCACCTTTGTCCCTCTCATCTCACCCTCATCCCCCGGCATCTTCTCTGTGCTGGTCCATGGACCCTCCACCTTCTCAACCTCATCCCATCCCATCCCCTGAACCCCTCGGGGACCATCCCCTCCCCCAGTTTCCCCCCATCCCATCCCATCCCATCCCCTGGGGTCCTCCTGTTTCCTCCATCCCATCCTCCAGGTTACCCCATTTCCTTCCATCCTATCCACTGATGTCCCCTCAGTCCCCCTCCATCCTTCCCCTGGGGTCCCCCCTGTCCCCCTCCATCCCATCCCATCCCATCCCATCCTGTGGGATCCCCCTATCCCACCTCCTCCTCTCCCCTCAGTACTCCAAGAAGATCGACGACCGTTTCGGTGGCTACGTGGCCTGCACCCTCCTGGTCTTCTGCTTCATCTGCTGCCTCCAGATCCTGGTGTTCCCCCAGTGAGTTCTGCAGCCCCCCAAAAAACCCTGGCCCCGGCCCCCTGAGCCTGTCACTCACCCCCACCTCTCCCCAGCTCCCCGCTGATGCTCGGTGTCTACGTCAGCATCTTCATCCTCCTCGCCGCCATCCTCTTCGTCTGCGCCGTCTACTCCTGCGTCACTGTGAGTGCCGGCCCGAGGGCTGGGGGGGCTTTGGGGGGCTCGGCTGGGAGTGACGGGGTCTTTTCTGTGTGTGTGTCCCTCCCCCTCCACCAGCTCTTCCCCACGGCCCTGCAAAGGCTGTCCCGGAGCATCGTCCAGTCCCGCGCCCGCAGCACCGGCATCGCCGTCTTCACCATCCTGCTCGTCTTCATCGCCGCCTTCGTCAACATGGTGGGGACATGGGGGGCTGTGAGGGGCTCTGGGGGGCTGTGAGGGGCTCTGGGGCACCGTCTCACCCCTCTGCCCCCCCCCCCAGTTCTCCTGCAGCCGCGTGGCCCTGCGGGAATGTGCCGCCCGCGAGCTCAACGTGACCCCCGAGGCCGTGGGACCCTGCCAGCTCCGGGCCCTCAACTTCTCCCTGGGGACCCCCCCTGGCTCCTGCCACGGTGATGGGCTGGCCTGTGACTTCCCCGAGGTGAGGGGCTGTGGCCACCCCCGGGCACAGGGGCACGGGGAGCCCTGGGGGTGCCTGGTCCTCCCTGGGTGCTGGCACAGGGTCCCTGGGGGTTCTGGGTGCTGGCACAGGGTCTCTGCAGTCCCTGGGTCCCCAGGAATGCTGCCAGGGGTCCCTGAGCGTGCTGGGTGCCAGCACAGGGTCCCTGCAGGCACAGGCTGCTGGCACAGCTCCCTCGGGTCCAAAGTCCTCTGTGGGTGCTGGCACTGAGCCCTTGAGGGTGTCCCCAAGGGTGCAAGGTCCCCATGGGCGTGGGGTGCCACTCAGGGCTCCTGGGGTGCCATCCAGCATTCCCAGGGTGCTGCAGAGGTTCCCAGGGGTGCTGCCTGGGGTTCCTGGGGTACTGGCTGGGGTTTCCAGGGGTGCTGCCAGGGTTCCTGGGGTGCTGCAGGGGTTCCTGGGCTGCCATTAGGGGTTCCTGGGGCCGGCTGCAGGGGTTCTGGGGTGCCATCCAGCGTTCCCGGGGTCCCAGTGCATCCCCCCCGTGTCCCCCCCAGTACTTCAGCTACAGCGTGGTGCTGAGCCTGCTCGCCTGCTCCGTCTTCCTGCACATCAGCAGCATCGGGAAGCTGCTGCTCATGGTGGCCATCGAGGCCACATTCCTGCTGCTGGTGGAGGGGCCTCACGCCGCCCTCTTCGACAACGCCGACCTGCTGGTCGTGGCCAACGCCCTGTGAGTGCCCTTGTGTCCCCCCGGCGTCCCCAAACTCCGAGATGTGTCCCCACCCCGCTAACCCCAGCTCCTCTCCCCCACAGGCCCTCCTTCAATGTGACCCAGGGCGAGTGGTGAGCGGGGAACTGGGACCAGTGGGGAACTGGGGGTAGGGGGGTGAGGGTGGGCAGCAGCAGGAGATGCCTTGGGGGGGGTCTGTGCTGCAAGGGTGGGTGCAGCTTTGGGGTCTCTGGCGCGGGTGCAGCTTTGGGGCTTCTGGGTTGGGCGCATCCTTGGGGTTGGTTGAATCTTTGGGGCTCCCTTGGGTGAGCGGGTGGGCCTTTGGGGTCTGGGTGGGATCTCTGAGGTCCCTGGAGCGGGAGGGTGAATTGTAGGGGTTGGGTGCAGGTTTGGGGTCCCTGGGGTGGGCGGGGGCCATCCCTCAGCCCGTCTGAGGGCTCTGGGGGTCCCGCAGCCCCGCGGAGGGGAAGGTGGCCCTGCGGTTCGTCACCCCCGCCGTGCTGGCCGTGTTCGCCCTGGCCCTTTACCTGCACGCGCAGCAGGTCGAGTCCACCGCCCGCCTCGACTTCCTCTGGAAGCTCCAGGTAGGACCGGGGGGGCTGGGAACGACCCTTTTCCTGCACAGCGGGGCCAGAACTGACCCCTCCCTGCACCCCAACCTCGGGCTGGCCCTGGGGGCCCCCCGGCAGCCCCCACAGTGGCGCGTTCCCCGCAGGCAACGGGCGAGAAGGAGGAGATGGAGGAGCTCCAGGCCTACAACCGGCGGCTGCTCCACAACATCCTGCCCAAGGACGTGGCCGCGCATTTCCTGGCGCGGGAGCGGCGCAACGACGAGCTCTACTACCAGTCCTGCGAGTGCGTGGCCGTGATGTTCGCCTCCATCAGCAACTTCTCCGAGTTCTACGTGGAGCTGGAGGCCAACAACGAGGGCGTGGAGTGCCTGCGGCTGCTCAACGAGATCATCGCCGACTTCGACGAGGTGCTGGAGGGGGCAGTGAGGGTGCAGGGGGTGCAGGAGGTGTGGAGGGGAAGCGCACGGGGATGGGGTGCAGGGGGTGCTGGAGGGGCTGTGGAGCAGCTTGGAGGGGGTGCAGGGTGATGGGTGGAGGAAAATGGGGCCTTGGAGAAGCCACGGAGCAGCGTCCATGGACACGGGGCACTCACAGCCCTGCCGAGGGGTGACCCCACCATGTGTGTGTGTCTGTGTGTGTCCCCTCCCAGATCATCAGCGAGCAGAAGTACCGGCAGCTGGAGAAGATCAAGACCATCGGCAGCACCTACATGGCGGCGTCGGGGCTCAACGCCTCCACCTACGACCGCGAGGGCCGGAGCCACATCGCGGCCCTGGCCGACTACGCCATGCACCTCATGGAGCAGATGAAGTACATCAACGAGCACTCCTTCAACAACTTCCAGATGAAGATCGGTGGGTCCCTGGCGGCTCCAGCAGCCCCTCACGCCCCCCCCGTGCATTCCTGGCCACCGCTCGTGGTGCTGTGTCTGGTGGCTCTTCTCCTGTTCTCCCTTTTTTTTCCCTCCCCCTTTTCCCCTCTCATCCCCCCTTTCCCTTTGCCCTCCTTCCCACCCCATGGGTGTTGTGTGTGGGGTTCCTGACCCTCCACCGTGTCCCCCCAGGCCTGAACATGGGCCCGGTGGTCGCGGGGGTCATCGGGGCCCGCAAGCCCCAGTACGACATTTGGGGCAACACCGTCAACGTCTCGAGCCGCATGGACAGCACGGGGGTCCCCGACCGCATCCAGGTCAGCTGAGGGGGCGGGAGGTGGACAGGACCACCCCCTCAGGGACCCCAGCACCCCCCCCTCACCCCCGTGTGCCCCCCCTCCAGGTGACAACGGACCTGTACCAGGTGCTGGCGGCCAAGGGCTACGTGCTGGAGTGCCGGGGGCTGGTCAAGGTCAAGGGCAAGGGGGAAATGACCACCTACTTCCTCAACGCCGGCCCCGGGGGCAGTTAGGGGGGGTCCCCATGGTGCCCCCCCAACCCCCCCGGCCTGTGCCGGGGTCAGGCAAGGAAAGGAAGAGAAATCCCCAAATCCACGTATTTAAAAAAAAAAAAAAAGAAAAAAAAAAAGGGAGAAATGGACGCAAGGGAGGTGGTTGGAGGGGGGGGTGACCCCTCTGTGCCCCCCTCACCCACACCAAGGTGTTTTGGGGGGTGTTTCCCAGCCCTGCACTGGGGTGTTTTTTTTGGGGGGGGGTGTCAAGATGAACCCACCCCTCTCCCCCCCCTTTGCTGAAACCCCCCCATGTGCCAAAGAGGGGAGATGGGCCCCCCCCAGGGAAGGTTTGGGGGGGTGTGAGGGTGGGGGTGTCCCCAGCCCCCTCCATGTGCCAAATTGAAGTGCCGCCTGCGGGGGGGGGAGGAGGGATGCAGGCCCAGCACCTCCGCAGCTCCCCCACCCCCCCGGGGGTCCCAGCTCCCTCCGGGGGCTGCAGCGGGGAGGGGTGGGAGGCAGCTCTCCCCCCTTTTAAATGCAAAAACCTAATGAAGTGTCTTTTTTTTTTTCTTTTAATTTTTTTCTCGGTTTGTTTTTTTTTTTTTTTTTGAGGCGGTTTTGGGGCGGGGGGCTCAGCCCCGGAGGAGAGGGAGGGTGTGTGTGTGTGGGAGGGGACAGCAGTTCCCCTTCTCCGCCACCCCAGCGCAGACCTGAGGTACTTTGTCCTTCGTGTGTACAGATAAATTATATATAAAACACTTTGGATACGAGCTGTGGCCTGGTCTGTGGGGTCGGGGTGGGAGGGGGGTCACACACACGGGGGTCCCGGTGAGGGGGGTCCTGTTCAGAAAGGGATCCCGGAGTGCCGGGGGTGGGTGGCACACAAAGGTCCCGGTAAGAGAGGTGGTGAGAAGCTGTTGTGGGGGCTCAAACACCGCCCTGAGGTGCGAGGGGGTGCCAGACCCCCTAAACCAGAGCCCTCCTAAAACCAGAGCCCCCTAAAACCGGAGCCCCCAAAACCGAAGCCCCCTCAGCGGTCGGGGAGGGGGCGTGGCCTGCCCGGCCTCCGTGGGCGTGTCCCCACACGGAGAGTGGGCGTGTCCTCCCTCAAGCCCCGCCCCATTCTGAACACCCGCGCTCCCCCAACGGCCGCTCCCGCTCCCCCCCCCGCCGGCGCTGTGACGTCACCGCGCTGCGTGCGCACGCCGCCGCGTCCCCCGCGCGGGCGCAGAGCCGCCATGGAGGCCTCGGCGGGCGGCGGCGGCGCCGGGCCCAGGCGCCGCTGGTACTTCAGCCGCGAGCAGCTGGAGCGCAGCCCCTCCCGCCGCGCCGGGCTCGACCCGGACAAGGAGCTCTCGTACCGCCAGCAGGCGGCCAACCTGCTGCAGGACATGGGGCAGCGCCTCAACGTGTATCCGTGCGGGCGGCCCGCGCTCTAGGCCGCGCTAGGCCGCGGGGTGTGGGGGGGTAAGCGGAGCGGGGCGGGGAGGGCGCGGGGATGGGGGAGACGGGAGGGTCGGGGGAGACGGGGGAGGGTGTGGGGAGAAGCGGGAGCGGCGAAGGGAAGGAGCGGGCCCCGGAGCGGGGAGAGCCCGGCGCGGCGTTGGGGTTGAGCAGAGCCCGGCCCGGGAACAGCGAGGTCGGTGCTGGCGTATTGGGAAAGCCTGGTTCGGCTCGGCTCGGGAGCGGGAGGAGCCGAGCTCCGTTTTTTTTTGGATCGAGGAAATCCCGTTTCGGGAGCGGGGAGAGCCGCGCCGGGGTGTTGGGAAGGCTCGGGAACGCCCGACCGGCCCGGAAGCGCCCAGCCCGATTTGAGATCCCGAAATGGGCTTTGGGAGCAGGAAGAGCCTGTGCCGGGCGGTCGGGAAGGTCCAGCCTGGGAGCGACGAGAGCCGAGCCTGTTTTGGGATCTGGGAAATCCCGTTTTAGGATCGTGGGGAGAGCTGTGCTGAGACGCAGGGAAGACCCAGCCCGGGAACGCAGAGAGCTCGTCCCGTCCCGGTGGGATCAGTTCCAAGGGCTCCCCTGGGGAGGAAACCCCTGCCCGGGGGTCTCTGTCGCGGCTGTGCCTTTCCTTAACCCCCTTCCCAAGCTCCCAGCTCACCATCAACACGGCCATCGTGTACATGCACCGCTTCTACATGGTGCAGTCCTTCACCCAGTTCCACAGGAACGTGAGTGCTGGGATCTGGGGGGAAAGGGATGGGGAGCACTGGGAATCCCCCAGCTCCGCTCTGGGGAGATGGGACTGGCCCCGGGGAGGGATTTTGGGAAGGGGGAGGGATAAGGAGAGAGACCCTTTTCTCCATCCTGGTGGTGGCTGGACTTAAGGCTTGCACAGGCTTCACTTCCTGGAGGGATAGGGAGAATCCACCTGGTTTTATTTGGTTTGTTGTCGGGGTCAGTGGGTTTCTGACGTGACTCTTGTGCCTGTCCCCTCAGTCCGTGGTGCCCGCGGCGCTTTTCCTGGCGGCCAAGGTGGAGGAGCAGCCCCGCAAGCTGGAGCACGTCATCAAGGTGGCACACGCCTGTCTGCACCCTCAGGAGCCTCTGCTGGACACCAAGAGCGAGGTGGGCGAGGGGATGGAGCGCTGGGATGGGCTCTGGGCAGCGGGAATCGCCTCCGGGATCGCGCGGCTCCGGCGGCTCCTCCGCCCTCCCCGGGGGCAGCTCCCCAGCCCAGCAGCTCCTGCCACGGGGAGATTTGGGCTTCCCTGCTCTGGGCAAGCTCCCCTCTGCTCTGCTGCACGCCTGGGTCCAGGTCCAGTGTCCCTGGGGTGCTGCCCAGGAGCAGAGGTGGGAGCAGTTTGTCCCCACAGCGGTCACAGGGGGGTAAAAACGCTGCTGATTTCACCTGGAGCTGGGCAGCCAGTCCTGCTGGAAGGGGCAGCTTTTTTTTCCCAGGAAACTTATGGAAAATGAGAGAAAACAAACAAACAAACAAACAAAAAGGCAGGAATAGCTGCTGATTCCTGCTAATTCCTTTCCTGCTCCTGTGCCACCCCAGGAGTGTGGGGGACCAGCACCCAGGGCCACCCCGGCGCTCTGCTCCCTCTATCACACAATCCCAGGATGGTTTGGGTTGGAAGGACCCTTAAACCCCATCCTGTCCCACCCCCCCTGCCACGGGCAGGGACACCTTCCACCAGCCCAGCTTGCTCTGAGCTCCTCCCAGCCTGGCCTTGAGCACTTCCAGGGGGTCTGTGCCAGTGCCCCCCTGCAGGGAGATTCCCGTTTTTCCCCTGGAGAGAAGGGTGTCAGGGATGTGCAGGCTTGATCCGAGTGCCTCTCCGTGAGTAACCTGCCTGTCCTCTCAACCCCAGGCTTACCTGCAGCAAGCCCAAGACCTGGTCATTCTAGAGAGCATAATACTGCAGACCCTGGGTAAGTTGTCGAAGCGGCCGGGCTGCCACACGAATCCCAGAGCCAGGAGAATTCCACAGGCTGGAGAGCCTGACCCCTGCTGTCTTCCCCCCAGAGTCCAGGCAGCAAACCCCTTTTTCACCCCCACTCTTGTTTCAACATCAGTTTTTCCAGGTGTGACTCGTGCCAGGCTCAATGCTCAGAGAGATTTAAGTGTGGCTTCTCTCTTTTTGTTTTTTTTTTTTTTTTTTTTCCCCCCAAAAACCCCCAGGATTTGTACTACTTGGACACTTGGACACTTGCTGTTGTGGGTTGTGCTTTCCAGCTCAGTCACAGAGTCATGGGATGGTTTGGGTTTGAAGGGACCTTAAAACCATCTAGTTCCAACCCCTAAAGCTCTAATCCTGTTGCAGGGAGCAGTTTGTGCTGAGAGATGTCTAAAAACGCCGGCTAAAAGTGAATATTTGTGTCAAATAATTGAATTGGGGGGGTGGGAAACCCCAAAAAACCAACAAACCAGCAACAGCTTTTGGAAGTAGAAATTGGAGCCTCCACGTAGGGCAGGGGTTGGTGGATCTGGTACCCTGTTCCATTCTCAAATGTGCTGTTAAAAGTTGTTCTTACTAACTCATGTTCCATTTCAGAGGCAGTTTGTAGGTAGATTTTTCTCTCCAAAAGAGCAGGATTTGTTACTCCTGTCTGGATTCAGAGCAGACACCCCGTGTCCCCCCCCTCAGGACGGGCTGACGTGTCATGGACCACAAACCCGTGGCTGAACTGAGTCCAGTTCTGCAACCACTCACTCCTCCAGTTGCCTTTTCAAACATCCCAGTTCTTCTAGAACATTCTGCAGATCTGCTGCACACATGGACCAACTGGAATTCTTCCTCCCTTTAAAACATAATTCCCAAACTGAGGAGGAAACTGGAGCGAGGATTAAACTCAGTTGTCCTCAGGCCCCTTCAAAGGGAAACAATCTGCTTCCTCTCAGCTTTTTGGGTGAGAGAAATTCCTTGGAGCAGATGCCATTGTCTTCTCCTTCCTCCCAGCTGCTCCAAGAGGCTTTTGTCCTGCTATTTTTAAAATCCTTAATAGTTTTTTTTTTGTTCCCAGTGAGGCCCTTTCAGAAGTCCCCGAGCTCTGGGGAGGTCTGGCAGCACCAGAGAGACCTTCAGGGTTTGTGGCTGGAGAACTTGAGGCTGGAAAACGGGCTCCTCTGTTCCTGCCCGGCTCTGAGCAGGGCTGGAGGAGGGAAGGGGAGCAGCAGACGAGGATCCAGGGCTGTGCTGCTGGTCCTGAGGGTCCTTTGTCTGTGTCCTTGCAGGGTTTGAGATCACCATTGACCACCCCCACACCCACGTGGTGAAGTGCACCCAGCTCGTGCGAGGTGAGGGGCGACTGGGAAGGGGAAGGGCTGGCAGAACAGGGTGGAATGTCCAGCTGGGGCTGCTCCAGAGCTTCCCAGAATGTTGGGATGGGTTGGGTAGGAAGGGCAGGGACACCTTCCACCAGGACCAGGTTGCTCCAGCCTGGCCTTGGGCACTCCCAGGGATGGGGCAGCCACAGCTTCTCTGGGCAACCTGTGCCAGGGTCCCCCCACCCTCACAGGGAGGGATTTCTTCCCAGTATCCCATCAAAATCTCCCCTTTTCCTGTGGGAAGCCCTTCCCCCTTGTCCTGCCACTCCAGGCCTTGTCCAGAGTCCCTCTCCAGCTCTCTTGGAGCCTGAAAAGCTGCACCAGGGTCACCCCAGAGCCTTCTCCAGGCTGAACAATCCCAGTTCCAGCCCTGTAATCATCGAAAAAGAGGCAATTTGAAATGATTCTGGCTCTGCTGGACTCCACAAAGCTCCCAGTGAACAGAATTCCCCAAATCCCTGTGGCTGTGGCCTGGAGTGAGTCAGTCCGTGGGTGCCATGTGGCTCCTGCACCAAAATACGATAATATTTATCAGAACGTGCAAGTAACGCCCTGCTTTTTCCTTTTTATCTTGCAGCCAGCAAGGACTTGGCACAAACTTCCTATTTCATGGCTACAAACAGGTTATTATTTTTTTTAATTTTCTAATTGATTTATAATTTACCTGCTGCTGGTGACTGTGGGGGCATCGCTGGGAATCCCTCAGG